ACTCTCCAGCGGGTGTTCACATGAAATATGGCCCATAGCACTGTGCTAAGTCTTATCAAGGAACAAATACACACTTCCAGCCTCAAAACATTCTGGATAAATTGCTTGTTAGTGAAAGTGCAGCCAAGTGCCCTGGGAAAATAATGTAATGTCATGTGTCAAAGGACTGAGCTGCTGGTCAACTGGAGGTGAAAGGGAAAGGTGCAAAACCACCTACTGACCTACTGTTAGCCCTGTCCTTACCTCAGACTCACAGCTAATATTTCAGACACTGCCAAGCTCTGGAATTCAGCCCAGCATGCTGCCAGCTACACCCCAAAAAGCTACCAGCAAAAAAATAAATCACAAAACATCTTACCAGTTTCTTTCTGGGACCAGACTCCATGTAGTAGGCATATGGATATGTGTACTGCAGGGTGTAACGACACTGTTGGGGAGTGGGAGTAAGAGAGAAAAGAAGGACAAGAGTCTCAGACTGGAAAGGCAGCACAGTCATATTTGTGTGACCACTACAGGGGCTAAGCAGCTTCCTTCTGACAAGCATGACTGGACACTTCATGGTGGAATTTCCTAGAGCTTCCTGGGCAGAACTTGTGCAGTTAAAGTATAACTGCACAGAGGTCACTTCCAGATGAATTTTGGCTAGCTTATGTTCTAGACTAGAGGTACTGTCCCACATACCCACAACCCCTAAACTCCCTTCCTCACTTGGTGTTGTGAATTTAGCATTCTGGTGTGCATTCTCTATGCCAAACAAGCCACGACTACCCACCTTTGCAAGTAGTTTTGCAGCATTTTGTAGGTATTGCCAGTCTATCCATGTTCCCAAGTTGTTCATAACTCTTTCTTGGATTTTCTCCTGGATTCGTTGGTACGTCTGTGCCTCCAGCTGTAAGCTCTTATTGTGATTCTCCCACTGCAAGAGATGGGAGTGGGGAGACAGGGAAAGAAGAAAATTACATGAGACCAGAATACTGCTATGGTGAAGGCACAAGCTCTAGCAAGCAGAAATTGAAGTGGGGGAGGAGTCCAGCAAGGCAAGACATGCTGTGGGGAAGAGCAGCAAGGCAGCACCTCCAGTAGCAAGTGGCTGTGGCTTTATACAACAGACTGACAGCAGCAAAGAGCAGAGAGCAATCCCAGCTCCTCAGAGTGGGAATGGCCCCTGGTTGCACAGTGACCTTGTGTCTAACAAGATGAAAAGTAATAGTGATTACCCTAAAGGATTTCTATAGAAAGGTCAAGAGTTTAACATTTAACACTGGCTCAGTGAATTCCAACATCCGTGTGCACATTGTAAGCATGGCCACTTCCCAAAGCCTGTTGGTCTGGAGAGCCAGGAATAAAGACATTTATTTTAAACACAGGACTTGGCTCATGGTGTGAACAATAAACTCATTTTTAATGGGGAAACAAGTGAAATGCAGCAGCACTGAACCTCTACCATGTTCTCTCTGAGAGATGCCGCTCTAGAATTGCACTGTATGGCCAGCTGCATTGACCCTGCTGTGTGGACAGTGGTGCTCTGACTGCAAGTTTAACACGTGGTTACATGTGAGTTCACAAAACCTCTTGCACAGTCAGTGGAGTACTGAACATGGCATAGTTTATTTATTCCTTGTCTCTATATAGACATACTGCAAGGAACTGAAGTTCCCTGATCTTGAAAGGAAATTATTGGAGCAATACCCATCTACTCCAGCAGCACTCAGCCTACAGGAAAACAGTACAGTGGCACGCAAGCAATACTGATTTTCTCTAGCACAAGGAGTTAATAGTATTTGGTTTCGTTACAATATTACTGGTTTGGATGGGATCTGCAGGGTAGGCTTTTGAGTAGACAACAACAGCGCCTGAAAATTCTGCACAGATTCTCTTTGGGCAGTTCCTTGCACGGAGATTGCTGGCAACGACCTTTGCACCAGGCAGGGAGCATTAAAAGGCTACAGCAGCTCTGGCCAAGGAGATGTCTCCTACCCTCTCAAAATAGAACAAGTACTTCTTAAGGGCCTCCCTGGCCTGTGCTTGCTGACTCTGGTTTACAATATCAGGATTCTCTTTGTACCGACTGCATTCGTAGTACTCGCTGCCGTGAGTCTTCCAGTCTCCCAGACACATCCAGCAGAAGTCTGCAGAAAACAGAAAAAAACCCCACTGTGATGCACAGGAAAAAACACTTCTGAGAAAGAAAAGATTCAGGAGACACAGCCCATCTGTTTTCAGATATTTCTGTTAAGCCAAGAAACATCTACCTTTTCTGTCATCTTGCACAATGGAACACAATAGTGAGCCAAAAACACCAGCCCGTCTTGAAGATTTTCATTGTACAGCCTCCTGTGCAGCTATGGAAGGTAAATCCTGAAGTGCTACATCCTGTGCACCGAGACCAATGGGCAGAACTGTGCTTGTGCTCTGCACAGGTTGTCACTCTAGGTTAAAGAAGGCTGCAGTCTTTTTTGAGTTGCAGCCTCCCCACCACTGGCACCCTGCCCCATGAGGACGTCTAACTGAATAAAATATGAACAATTGGATCCAGAAGTGAAATAACTCAAGCAAAAGGAAGTTTGCCCTCAGATCTCTTGAGAAGGGAACTATCCAGATAACTTCAGATAGCAGTGATTTACGACACTTCAAGTTAGGAGCCACTGAACTGGGAAGAAAAGTGGAGGAAAGACAGCAATAGCAAAACCCGCATGACAGTTTCCTGATTTCAGGGCGAGGCTGTGAGCGTTCTGCTGGGAAGGAAAAAAGATGCAGATTTAAGTTGCTACAATAGGAACCACTTCTGTGTTACTCAGAATAAGAAACTGAAATTTCTATTTCCAGAGTTCACCAGCCTTCTGGAGTGCTAGTCACTGTGGTACCTTGGCACTTGCCTGCTCACCCTTGTCACAGAGCTCCATCAAATCACGTCCAGTGCTGCTGAGGACCCCAAAGCAAAGGAAATGAGAGAGGACAGTAATCTTTCACCATCTTCCAAATAAGGTTCTGATATTACTATATTTCCTGGTGGCACACTTAATTTAAAAGGCTGAATACAAACTACCTTGCTCCAAGACATAAGAAATTAATTCTGCCATGAAAAGATAAGTGCAAGAACAGGCTGTCATTTTGTAGGACCACACCACGGGCCAAAGACACTCAGGCTGCCAACTGCACAGGGGTGGACTCAGAAGTCCAACAGATAACATCATGCAGAACAATTCCCAGCTCCTGCAGTTTCATCTGGGTTGAAGCTCATTATTTCCATCACTGAACAGAAGGATTTAAGCTGATCTGAGTCAATGGCTCAGTTCTGCCAGTATTTTCAGCTGGTGATAAATACAGTTACACAGAAAGCACTAAATATTCTCCTCTGAGATGGATTCCACTGTTAATACTAAGGCAGAGATGGAGATTTCTCTATACAGTGGATATGTCAGGGAGAGGTTGCCAAACCAGCACTGAATCAGAACCCAGCTGAGATCACAGCCAGTGGGGGGAAAAAAAGAAGAAAAAAGCTATTACAGACAAGTCTGTAATTAATATCCTCTTCACATTTTACTAAGGGAAAAAATATATTTCAGTCAATATTCACAATTTGTGTTCATATGACAAAAAAAAAAAAAAGGGAAGTGAACATAATAATTAACTAACATTGCAGAGAAAACTGCTTCCAAGCCCTACTTACCATGCTTGCATTTGGAGCATTGCTGAAAAAGAAGAGACAGGAGGCACTGGTTAGGGAAAAGTGAGGAACAAAAATTTTCTGCTTAGAACAAGGAAGGTCTGAGGTGTTCAGGGAATTGCTCACCATGTGATTGCAGCCTCCATTCTTTTCAATACAGATATTGCACTTGGGACACTGCAGGAACAGAAGCATTTGTTAGATCACACTCTGTCTCTAGCAGCCTTCTGGAGAATGACAACACTTGCATGGTTATTCCCCTCCTGCCTGTTTTTTAAATATCCATATGTGTACATAAGATTATTAACATACACACCCCCTGCCTCCCACTGATTCCTGACAGCTCCATTTAAAAAGGAGGCAGAAAGACAAAGCCAGGGCAGTTACACTGCAGCCCTCGATTGCTTGCTCAGGAAAACAAGCTTGCTGTTGTTACTCTTTGCAAAACTGCAGGTCTCAGTTGCCATTTAGCAGTTGCTCAGGCCTAGGGACATCATTAGCTCATGTAGGACAGAAGCCTCTCCAGCTACTCAGACTACAAGACATTCAGCACCATCTAGAGAATAAAGGCAGTATATATATAACTTTTAAAGTTAATTTTATAGGTTGACTGGACTGCATAATTGTAATACTATTTCTTTTTCTTGGGTCTAAATCTACTGGAAGCACTTCAGTGTCTAATTAACAGACTTCATCTACTCCATTTTGCTGTCCTCGTCAAATCAAGACTTTGTTTCCCTCACCTTCCAGTTCAGAGTACCCCAGGCAGCTGCTCAGGTTCAGACACCACTAGTGCTTTATTTGGTATTCCATTCTTACCACACTCTTCTCCTCCTATTTTAAACACATCTCCATGGATCATTTCATAGGAGTCACAATTTGTTAGCCTGTGGCAGGGCAGTACACCTGGCTGCCAAAGACACACACAAGGTCTGCAATAAGGAGCATGAGGCCCTTGCTGCAGAAGGGTAGCTGGATTCCCTGCATAAAGTGTTCCCAAGGCATCCAGTTGTGTTGTACCACAGTTCTGAGGGAGCTGTGAGAATTTGCAGACTATGAAAAAGCAACACACGATGCTACATATGTAGAGAATTGTATCTTGCTTCCCAGGCAGGACTAGAGCATAAGAAAAAACCCCTGCAGGTGCTTGTCCTTACGTCTTTAGTGTGAGCACTGATGTAGTTGGCTGTTTCAGAGTCATCTGCACACTTAGTGAGCCACTTCCTGATGGTGGCACAGTCTGTGGGCGCGTGGTACATCTGCCGGCACTTGAAGCTTCACGGGGGCAGGAGAACAGAAAGAAAGAAAAAGACACGTTGATTTCCAAGGAGGTGACTTGAATCGAGGTTTCTCTGAAGACTAAAATCTGGGAGGCCAAGCAAGGGTAAGGGACACAATGTAAATTACTAGAGTGCAAGGACCAAGGCTGAACCCCCACCCTCTTGTGCAGACACCAGGGTCAGGATGAGGGTGAACTGAGGCCCTGGGTGACAGATCATGTGTCTGGGGGCTGGCACAGTCCTCCCTGGAGCCCACCTATCTGCTCCAACATGAAAGCAGAGACCTGGGCCATATCTATAGCTTTACAAGTGACTTCAGTGGTAGATATCAGGTACCTGCATCAGCATGACCTTGCCAGCCCCAGGTGAGGAAGGACCATTTGCATGGAGAGACCAGTAAGCTGGGTCTCTAAACCAGTTGCATTGTGTTCCACAGACATTCTCAACAGCAGTGATTATGGAAACCCAGGAGCAGATGACACTTAAGCAGCCCTGTAAGCTTTCTTTTTGCTTGTCCGTTACATGCTTGACATCAGACCAGCAACATTAGCTTTCCTGTTCAGCAGAAATTTATTCTCACATGAGCCTCAAAACACAACAGACACTCTGGGAGTCAAATAGTTGTAATAAACTAAAAATTCAACACCAGCAGACAGCCTGATGCCTCTACATCCATAACCAGAACCTCTAGCAGTCACTACGCCTGACCAGAATTTGTAACATAGCCAAAACATGAGAATGGAAGATTTGAAAACTCTTAATTACTTAAGCTCTGCATTCTCTGGTTGTTGGAACATCCAACTCCCAAGGAGTTTAGGGAGTGAGGGAAGGGCTGACCACCTGCAGAAGTCAGACCCCAAGTGTCCAATTACTCAGGCTAACTCAAGTTACAAACAACTCTAGCAAAGCATTTGGGATGCTTCTACACACTGAACCTGTTGGCAAGCAAAGGGAGTAGTAGCTCAGAGGACAGCACACACTTTCCCCATGATCTTTTAACCTTCTCTGCTGCTTACCAGAAGACCTCATTGCAACGATTGCACTGCACTCGCCGGGCTTTTGGCTCCTGTACCTGTATGACCATAGGGCAATCAGCACCAGGACACAGCTGCAGCTGATAATGGCTCTGTGAACATACCAAGGTGGTAAGATCAGCAGTGGGCAAAGAGGAGCATTATCTTGATCTGCTCAGACTTAACCACCCCTATCCTCAAAACCACACAAGTCAGTATCTCTTGTTGAAAAAAGTGAAAATTGTCACTAGATCTTAGGTTACAGAGCAGACAAACCTCTTCCACATCAGGAAGGGGAGAGCTTACAGCTTCTCTAGAACATGGAATTCAAATGGAGGGTTACAGACCAAGTAAGCACAGCAACACAACCGTAAGACCCCACCAAGACAGTTTTACTCCATGTGAGCTCTTTCCCCTTATGCCCCAGCATGTACTCAGGTGCTCTCCTGTGGTGGCTGTTCCCTTGCAAGGGGTGTTTTATAGAAGAGAGGTGACACCACTCTTTTGTACTGCTTCACTGCTGCTTGAGTTTTCCTAGTCTGTTTCCAGTTACCTGAATACTCCCTGCACATTTAACCCTTACAATTTCCACTTTCATTTCCAAAAACCTCACATAAAATGTTATTGAGCAAGCCAACTCAGTTCAGCTACACTAGTATGAGTGACTTATTTTACAGAACCTAAAATATCTATGCAAGAGCTAAAACGACTTTAAAATTCAGATTGAAGTTCTCAGCTGCAACACTCTGAGAATTCTGCTTCAGGAAAAGAGCCAAGGAGTTACTGGGTGACCTTACAGCAGAATTTACTTTGGCAACCTGCTAGAGCATTTTGTCAGTGAGGCTGTCCTCCAGGAACAGCCACATCATGTTTATCAGAGACAATTTTGCTGCAGTTACTGCATTTCTGATCAAAGGTGCAAGACACTTCAAACTGAATTTCTGTAGGTCACTGGCAAATTGATCCAGGGTATTTTAAAACTGAAAAAAAACCCTCTATACCTCCACGTAGTCCCTGAAGAGGTAGCGCCTGTATTTGTCTTTCAGCTCTTCACTAGGCAGCAATGGAAACACAAAGTCTTCTGGTGTCCGAAGCAGGCAGTCCTGAGCCATGCAGGAGACCCCTGAGAAGGGAAAGCAACATCTTAGCACAGATTACCCTGAGGAGTGAATGCTCAGGGAGCATTCAACACGGTTTCCTAGCTGCCATCTGTTGTTGTGGCAAGAAGGACACAACTGTGAAACAAATCTAAGGGGGCTGCTGAAAAGCTGAAGCCCAACTGTCTTCACTGAAAGATGACAGGGCACATGTGCATCCAGTGCTTCAACCAGTATTCACAAGGTCAGATTTAAAGTAGAAAACTGTATGTTTCTGCCATGCTAGCATGAAGGACAGGCTAGGAAAAACCCAGAGCAACTCTGACAACTACTGGCTTCTACCCAACACAAAGGGAGCAACTGTTTGCATCCATAAGCAGTCCAGGGGCAGTGCAACAACGCATCACAGGAGATGCAAACTCAAAACACAGCCGGTTTTCAGCTTCTACCTTGTTACTGTCATGCTCTTGAGATCACAAAGGCAGAAGAACAGCAAAAGGATCTACAGACTTGCATCTTTTGTTAGGCAGGAGTAGTGCTCTCCTGGTGCTAACACTAACCAGGCATTCAGGTAAGACCACTAGTTCAAGGTAAGTCTGTCAGAAATACTCATTCCGTGCTCCATTTTGTCATGACCAGACATTTTAGAGCAAATCAGCCAGTCCTCACCAGAAAAGCCAACATGACAAACAGACCCAGGACCACTTCTGCCTTGAACTCACCAACTCCGACACCATCCTTGACCAGCACTGTACAATGCTGCTCCCAACAGCTGCGACAGAACTGGTGCTGACAAGCCAGGGAGAGCAAGTTCTCCTTCCGGACAAACTGCATGCACACCGCGCAGTGATGGGAGGAATGTACCATTGCCTGGGAGAGAGACAGAGCAGCATTAGGGTGACAGCATCCCAGCTCTCCCAGAGCATTCGCACCTCAGCCACAGGCACCCCCATCACCTTCACTGAGATGCTGGTCTCAAGTGAGCTCCTGGACAGAACAAGTGCATAGGCAGCTGCTGTGCTGGAGAGCTGCACTGGCCTGACAGTCAGGCCTTCTCATTAACTTCTTTAATTTCAGGGAACACAACAGATTAACAGTCACTGAACAGCTCCCACCTCTAATCTAGTGCCACCCAGACCCCTACTTTTCTGGTTCTTACTCTTGCCTTGTTTGAAAAATGAGGGAATATATAATTGTGTTAGTCCTTCCCAGAATTCTTTGGGATTTCTTCCCAATATTCTTTGTTAGCTGGGTCAGACTCTCACTGTTCCACAGGCCCTGGAGAGCAGCTGTATCTGGGAGCAGGCTCAGCAGTGCCCTCTTACTGGACAACGATTTTAGGTAAGAGAGAACGCAACTGAAGGTGCAGTGTGTAGAGTGTTTACACCAAGAGAAGAAGGAGTTCACAGACCATCCTCTTCTGCCTATGATAGACCTGGCAAAGGGCATCATCCCTTCAGCTGAAAAGGATCAGAGGGTTTGTTTCAAGTCAGGCATAATTCTGCTATTGCCTCACCAAACCACTGGGAAGCAGTCTGGATCCCCCCTCGGGTAGCACAGAACCAATCCCTAGGCAACAGATCTAGCTGTAACACATCTCAGCTCACCCTTGGGACTTGAAGAACTAGGTCTAGCACATCATCTTGAAACTGCTAACAGCTTCTGTAGAGCCTTTCTTTTATGTTCCTATTTCCCCCTTCACTGAGAAACCCTATGATCTGTTTTCATCTCCTTAAACCTTTGCTACCCTTGGAGAAGCCTGTGCAGGACAGCTGTCAGCTCCCATGCCTGGCCCTGCATGCCAGAGATGCAGAGGAGCTGCACCATCACACCCAGCCACATGACCAACAGAGCTTCTTTTATAGCATGACCAGGCAGAAAAGGAAATCAAGCAACTTTGTTCTAAGCAGCCTCACTTATGGACCAGAACAAGATTCATCCAGTCTGCAACTGTGCTGATGGGCTCCATGAACTGCTCAGCTGGCCCAGCAAGCCCAGTGCCTCAGCCAGCTCTCCTCTGAGCTCACCACTGTAGCTTCACCCTGCAGGGCCAGTGCTCTTCAATATGAGCATCTGCCCCCAAAATATCATCATTCTGCTTTAGGAGCTGAAGCACAGAGCAACTTGCCCCCACAAATACAAAAGAACAGTAATGAATTGCCTACCAAACCAAGTCTGTCAGGATTTCAGCTAACCTTTTAACTGTAATATCTTTCTTCCCAAAATGAAATCACTATTGCAGTGGAAAGTACTTAAGTGGCAGCTTATACAAGAACCAAACAAATGTCAAAGTACACAAACTTATTTGTAGGTCTGTCAAATAGAAAATATCTTTTTCTGAAGCTCAGTCCTGTCAGCTGTGTTAGCACTTTCACTCTCTGCTAGTTACAAGTCAGTTCAGATGCCAAATCAGGCCTTTAAAGTCTCCCCTCCCCCCAGCCCAAAGAGTGTTTCTCAGATGTAATATTTCATCACTCAAAATCTGACACATGTTCCTGGGGCAACTGTGGATTGCACCAAGACACCCACTGTGAATGAAACCTGTAAACATGCAACAGGAAAATTCTATTTAAAGGGGAGGGAAGGAGTATCTAAAGACCTGTGCAGTACTGGATGCAAAACAAACTGTTGGTTCAAATATCACTACTGACTAGCTCAGCAGCAACACCACTGGGAGAGCATCCCTGGGCAGAGCAGTGCAGCAAACAGTCATTGCAGGGGAAAAAAAAATTAAAAAAAATCTGCTCCAGCCACAGACAAGCTCTGTTCACTCTGTGCAGGACAAGCTCCCCTTGAGTGTCTTTTACAGAGAGAGGAAAATTGGAAGAACTAGCCAAGCCCATGCACTCTGCTCCTTCCCATGTGTACCACCACTCCTGTCAAAAATATGAGCTTAATTTTATTGACTAATTCTTGAACACTACCTGCAAGACAACAGCAAACCTGCATTTAAACATCAGACACTTCTTGAATGCATTCTTCTTGAAAAAGTAAACCCAGCATTGAGTTGGGCTGTTGGACCTGAGCTTGCAAAGGGTTAATATGGGACAGACTATGGCTAGTAATGCAATCCTCCAGTGAGGTGGGTCAGAGGTGTCTGCCAAGGGAACAGACCAAAATAGTTAGCATACTTACATGTTTGGATGAGATGGGCTGAACTCGTGCTTCTACTAGCAATTGGGCAGCATTAGACTTGTGCCTGAAAAGGCAATTGAAGAATGATCAAATCAATTTCTGAATACATTTTGCTCTGTTAAAACAATCCTTCTTGCCTGAATAAATAACAGTCTCTGTGCAAATGGCAGGGTAGCTTTCAAAAAGGAAAGTGGAAATGTGTCCTGTGTGAGGCTCCTTCACACAGTGAGCTAAACTCTCATCAACAAAACTTTCTGAGTTGCTTCAAAATCAGAAACGGGAACACTTCTGCCACTAATGGATTAACATTTCCCTCACACTCCTTGATGAATACTTTTCCACAGCTCTCTCCCTCCCCCCAAAAGGTTATTTTTGAAGCTAAGATTTTCTGTCCACACCCCTAGAGCAGCCCCAAGCCACTGCCCACAATAACACACTCCAGTGAGGCTCCTGTCTGTCTCCTTTTCCTTTGTAAAATCAAGCTATCCTGGGTTAGATCTCACTGTAACTCTAACCTGTTATCTAGTTAAGCATTTACTCTGTGACAGATTATCACCCTTTACAGATGAAGCTGTCTATCAGTAGCCTTAGAATTAAACATGTTTTGCTGTTTGTGATTTCCATTGAGGAGGAATGTTCATATCTCCAGTAAAAAAAGCACCAGTAATTTCAGAAATAGCAGGAGCTGTAAATTCTCCCTCCCCACTAGCACTGAGGTGGTATCAGAGATTTTACATTTGATAACGTCACTTTGTATCAGGATAGAAATTTAGGGATTAGATCAGCTGGAGAACAACTTGCAAAGTCACAGCTTAAGTAGTAAAACCTTCCCCAAATTTAGTCTCGTTTAAATCTCATCAGTTGACCTGCAAAATTGCCCTGAGCTGCTATGCAGGAATCTCACCCTCCCATTCCCCAGAGAAAAACTTTCAGAGGATGCCTGGTAACCACCCAGACAGCTACCAAAGATGCTGCAGCAACATCCATACATTGCCCATATGTTATCTGGATGAACTTACTGGCTACAGGGCCAAAAATGGTATGGCAGAATGAGTCAGGCTGATGTGCTCTCTATTTTCAGACAATGTTCAGCTCTGAGCCAGTGTTTTCTGGAGGGGCTGCCAGACAGCAGTGCCTCCTGACACATTTCCCGTACATGTTTGGGCAGTGTCTGAACTCTCCTTTTGAAATCAGTTGGAGGGCTTTGCTACAGTGACACTGACCAAGAAACCAAGGGGCTGCACTTCTCATTTCTCTCACACCATCTTCTGCTCTCCAAATGCTAGTCAGCTTGGAAAACATCACTTATGTTCAGAAGGAGCAAAAACTTAAATGTGAATCTATTACTAACGAATACATCAGCATAAGTTCAGTGTTCTTTACGATTTATGGCTCAAGTTCAAAACAGAACATATGTTATCTTTATATTTGTTACAATAAATAAATAGAGATGGAACACTCTCAATCTGTTATCTCAAAGTTCAAGCTAAATGCATCTACAGGGTTCCCAGCATGAGGATAATTCCTCAGACTGAAAGACATTTGCCACCACTAAGCTCTCCCTGTTTTGAAATTTCTTACAGGCAATGCAGCCTCAGCAGAACACTGCTTTTCCTCTGCTGCCTGGAATGGACTGTGTGGTCTGCTTTCAGGTTCAAAGACACTTGTCAAAATGACATCTTGAGCAATCTTGCAAAGCAAGGGGGAAAAGCACTGAGCCCAGAAGAGATGAGACTATTTACACTTACCTTTCCAAAATCTCGGAGATTTGCCAGTGGAAACTAACTAATACTAGCTTTGCAACAGCATGTGATACCTAGGTGGAGAATAATAAAAAAAAGCTAAGTTAGGCACATTTTGAGGCTATACCTCTGGTTATGACTGTGATCTTCTTATTAGACTAATAAGTTGTACAACCTTAATATAATATTTGAGTGATACTCATTTCCCATTAAACCACTAGACATAATATTCACAGTCAGTGTATCTGCAATATACAGGTTGGAATGAAGCATGGATGTACCCAAACTCACTCACATTCTTAGAACAGCAGAGAGGAAGGAATCAAGAATTGGCTAAACTGCTCTTGGAAGCTCCACATCTAGTCCTGACTGCAGTTGCCACTCGAGAGGTACTAGAGTGGGATCAGGGTTCTTGCTAAGTGTGCAAAGCAGACAACACAGGGCAGACAGATATCACCTACTAAGCTGGAGAAGCAGCAAATGAAGGCATGTTGTGACAGCAAAGTGAAGAAGGGAAAGCCAAAATATTTTTCCCAAGCCTTCACCACAGAACAGAAAGTTGCATGCTGGACTGGAATAGGAAGATGGAAAGCTACTGTGACAAGGGCTATTTCCACGCAGAGTTGCCTGCATTATGAGGACTCCTGGCAAGCACTAGCACAGTCCATGTTAGCCTGAGCATCCTCTAGAATACTGCAACACGACATTTAAAGTCATGTTAAGAGGCTAGAAGCAAACAAGTTCTCCTCTGCTTCTATGTATTTGTTTACTTCAGAAGAAAACAGCCTGGTCTGCTAGCACCAAGAGGCTCCTACCCATGAAGTCTACAGGCATCTGTTGAGCTGCTAGACATTCAATCTGACTCTCCAGCCCTTCATACAGATTTCAGGCCCACAGAGCTCAAACAAAGCAGATACTCTGCAAACGGGACACCTTTTCTTCCAGGGGGATTCAGATGGCTCATGACTCCTGCCTCCTCACTCCTCTCTGTGCTACCAAGCACCTGGACAAGCCCAGTGATCTGCACATTCTGCATTCCAACACCCTCTGACATCTTAACTTCCCACACTCCAAGACAAACAATCACCATAGCCCCTCTCTCCATTATACATATAGAAAACAACTCCTTCTGTCCCAGATGCAGGAAGAGCTCTTTTTTTCCCCTCAAGAAGCTGTTAGTCCCAATCAGCAGCTGAAAAGCCTTAAGACTTCTTGAATCCTGCTACAGGTGAATGACAGGATCAGATGGACTGGTAATACAGACACACAGTAAACCCAACACAAGCCTGAAAGAAAATACAAGCAGTGGTCACTCCTGCAAACCAGAGAGGTTCTGCACACCTAGGGGCCGTGTATTCATTAATCTTCTAAACTTACCCCACTGAAGAGGTGCAGTTTCACAACAACTAACCTATTCCTGCCACATGATACTGCCCTGGCCCTGACACGGGCATTTGTCAGAGCTGGATGGCTGGTTCAGTGAGCTAAACCAGTGCAGCCCAATGCACGAGGCAGCTCGGGTTTTTAAATACCTCTTATCCACCCCTCCTTTCCCATTCGCCCACTTTGCTGGCCACTGAGAAATACCAGTAATAAAAGAGTAATTTTCAATGTTCAAATAACCCTCTTTCTAGAAGAACTTGACCCATTAGCTCATACTGTGTAAGATCTGCTGTGTCACCTTCCTCGACTTTACCAGAAACGTGACTCCCAGCAAACAAAGGCTGCTCAGGCCTCCCAGTGCAGAAGGGTGATCAGAAGGAGCACCTGGGGCTGCTGCTGGCAACACACACATTCTGCTACAGTTTGTATGGATTAAGTGCCAACTCCAGCCTGTGACGGGTTGTTATCTTAAGCCCCCAGGCTGGCAGACCCAGACAGACACCTTGGGAGTTGCTTGAACACGGAAGACATCTGCATTTCGCATTTGTAAAACAAACAAGCATCAGGAATGTGGTCTCTACAAGACTGGCTTCCTGCAAATGCAAACCACATGCTAATGAATCATTCTCTAACAGCAATGAAATTATTTTGCAGTAGCAGCAAGGAAGAACTACCATCTTGACAAAAAAAACCCCAATCAAACCACCAGACTTAAATGGGAAGTTCATCTGTAACATGAAAATGTGTGGGGTTTAGCTGGATTTTCAGAACCTGAGGTGTAGCACCCACTGCAGGATCATGATTCCAGGAAGTCACTTGTTCCCAGAGAAGCAACCAAGTACATCCAAGAATGAAGACGTACAGAAGAGAAATACAAATCCCAGCATACACGTTTCTGAAATCTAACAAACTACCCTAATAGAATCAAATGCTCTTGAATAAAACTGTTTAACAGTACAATCTGGAATTATGCTTCAGAAAGATGTCAAATTAACAGATCTAGAAGAATAACAAAGCTTCTGTGAATGTTCCTATTTTGGTCCAACTGCAAGCACTGATTAGACCAGCCGTACTGCTAATTTTATTACTTTAATCATACGAGCATCCAAGAATAAAACATTTTCAATTCATAAAGCCAGGTTCATGACACAAGTTCACTTTCATAAAAGCCCTGATGCAGAATGTTTTGATACTACCTGGTTTGAGTGCATAAAACCTTTGCAAACAAATCCCAGTTGCAGCCACGCACCCACAGTCTGCTCGGCACGGAAATACTAGTTCCTACACGTTATAGGTAACATTCAAACTGTAAGAAAGAGGGGTGGGAGAGAAGCAGATGAGGCTGGGGCTGTGCCTGTTGAGTAGAGTTTCACCACATGACAATCCACACCCTGGTCACCAGCAGCAAGGCTGTTAATTCAGGAGGCAAATTGTCAATAAGTTCAGGGATAACACTACTGGAGAGATTCAAGAAAACAAGCATGAGAAGAAAAACAAGTGTTTAACAAAAGCCTGCTTCTATTGATTAGCAGCCTCACAGCTTCTTCAATGATTGTACACTCACAATGAGTGAATGATTGCACCAAGTCAGCCAGTTTTTCCACAGTAACACCCCAGAATAATTGAATTATTTGTAAGCAGGAGCCAAAACACGCTGAGCACAGAAAAAATACCACTGTAATCAGAGGTTTGGACCACATGTACATCATTCATTACCTTACAGTACTGGAGAAGCAAGGTACAGAAGCTGATACTGTTGGTTGAACTGTTCAGTTAGAAGACCCCAAGGTCCCCTCCATATGCACCCACTGCAGCCTGCTTTGGATGTGAGCCTTGGTTGCTGCTCAGGCCTGCCGGGCACTCAGAAGCTCCCTACAGTGACAGGCCTCAAACTTGTAAAGCATTTCAGTAATGATTCAGTCCCTTTATCAGTCACCAGGTGCCACAGGAATCTCAGGTCATCCAAGAACAATAATGCTTTGTCTCAGATATAAAATAAATTTTAAAAGAGGCCACTGATAATTTGCCAGCTTTGTTTATACTTTTGTATTCTCTTTTCAGAATAATTAGACCCAAAAAAGACAGTGATATAGCCCACTCAGTGTCCTGCTAGCAGCAGGTCATTTCAGTAAAATACTTGTACACACCACAGGGCAGAAGGGAATGCATCTCCTGGATGCTGTGCTTCTATTACAGTTTTTGTTTGCAACTGATAAACTGTGCCAATGTTTCTAAATAACTTGACCTCGCCAAAACTCTTCTGGCTGTAATTAAATTTATTGAAATTTAGAAGATGAAAGCTGAAAGCAGTAGTCATGCTGAAAAATGTCTGTTTCCCTTATTCTCATTTCTCCATTTTCTTAAGATCAAAGATCAGCTCAGTCCAGATCTGAACCTTGACTATTTCTGACTCATGCTTCTTCACAATGGACTGGCAAAGCTGAAGAGAGGGGATCTCATCCAGTCTACAGTTTCAAGTTTCACCTGAAAACAGGAATGTGGTCACCTCAAAAGCCTCTTCCAAACCTCCATCAGCATGACTTACCAGTGACAGAAGTCTGCTGATTGCCAGAAAAAGGAACCAAACTCTAATGCTTATCACTGCACTGGAAAAGGGGCACAGTGTCTAATCAGGCAGGAAGGGAGCCAGGAGGAAGCTGCTCCACATAAAGGAAAAATTTTAGTTGTTAAAAAGTCTGGAAAATTTACATAGTGCTGGACAAAATTAGACTAAAGTAGAACAAAGAAGTAACACCACCACATTAAACACATATATATTCATTTTCTGGAAGAGAGCACAGCTTTTTCTTCTCTTTTTCTTTCCTTTTTTTTTTTTTTTTTAAATGTTATTTCCATCTTAAGTTATCTCCTGGGTTTTTACTCTCCAAGATAAGCAAAATTATCACACTTCTGAAGGGTGTGAGAGAGTCTGGCACTATCTAGGACAATACCAAAAGAATTTGCAAAGAAGCTCTGCAGATACCTTGCTGGGTTTGGAAAGCTGTAAGACAACTATGTGTCAACTTGCTTCCCTAGCAAGCTGTGTTGTTTGAAAAGCTGAAGTTTCATCTCTCTACAGTGGAAAATCTTTTCAACTTTGACAGTTGCTAATTCAGACAGAAATATTTCCTAAATGCTAAAAAACCACCATCTTTTGTAGAGCTTATATTCTACAGATATTGCTCATGCATATTTATGTTGCTTGCATATCTCATGAGCACATTACACACTTCTCCAAGGGATGGCCTATTTTTTGGAGGTGTGTTTCAAGCCTCACTTTAGCAGAAATATGGCATCAGAAATTGAAAACAAGAATCATGGCATGTTTTTAAAAGAGATTCAACTCAGAATGAGTTGGAGGTATTATGATCTGGTTGGAGCTGACATCCCGTGGCTTTGCACCAAGCTGACAATTCACGTTAGATCAGGGTTGCACTGAAATGCTTGGCTGAGATGAACACAAACCTGGCATAAAGAAATGCAGTTCCCATTTCTTATGTTTCCCTTAATCAAAGGTTTTTACACAAATAGATTTAAGCAAATAGGATTAATCCTGAGAAGCATTTCATTTAATCCACCAACAGCTTTTGTTAGTTCTACAAGGAAAGGATGAACTTGGGAAGATGTTAGTTTGTGTTGCACCAAAACTTCTAAAAACACACTCTTAAATTCTTTGCAACAGTAAAAACAC